CAAGCGAAGCTACCACATCGACCAGGACTGATGCCTCTACTGAGGCCGAACCTGAAGCCTCGCAGCCTTGGACTGAGGGAGAGATTGAACTCCTCCGTTCCCTTAAGACCAAATCCAAAGCCAAGTATGTGTGGTCAGTCATCGCCACAAGACTTTCTCGCACAATTGATGCTTGCAAGACTCAATGGGCCTTGCACAAGTGATGTCGCCCCAGTTGGGGCTCCGTGTGTGTGAAGCGTCCTGGAGCACGGACGGAAATTCCACATTGCATGGGGACTGGAGCCGTTGCTTGCTGACTTCTGGTCTAACAAATCTAGGCAGCAAGACGGATACCGGAATAGGCCATTCCGGCGTACCTCTGCCATCCTTTCGTGACCTAATGTGTTTCCTCGGTTTACCACTGTTTGCTTCATGTTCGTTTTCGATGATGTGACATTTGCACTGCAGATTGATTTTTTCATGCCTTTTCAGTACAATCGCGTGTCTGCAAGAGCAGCCTCTCGAGATAAGTGTGTGTGTGTGTGTGTGTGTGTGTGTGTGTGTGTGTGTGTGTGTGTGTGCGTGTTCGTATGCGTTTGCACGTGCGAATGCGCGTGGTGCGTTGACGTGCGCGTGTGCGTGTGCGTGTTTGTGTGTGTGTGCCACGAACGATGCCCACAAAGAGCATGTTTACAGCAGGCGCTGAAAGGGTGCAAATGGAAGTTTGGTGCCAGACCAATTCAGCGAGAAGCTTGGCGTTGTTATCATTTTTCTTCAGAGAATAGCGCGCAAATAGAAAACGACAAGAGAAAACACATGAATGCTAAGCCTTAATTAAGGTCTTTGTGGGCCGACCTCATACCAGCCTTCCGCCTTTTTGTCTGGCCACCTGTGCCAAGTCGTGCGAGCGACGTGCACCCAAGGGGTGATGACACCATCGCGGAACCCGCGTCTGGCTGGCTGCCTCCGAGCGCCCAGGCATGACTTCAGGTGGCGGCCTCTTGATCTGTGCATGTGTCAAAATAGGGGGCCCCCCTGACCCGGCACAAAAAAACTTGGTGTTTGTTCTTTTCATGTCCCTTGAAGCTAAGCCGCAAGCTGAACAAATTAATTACGCGCCCATCAAACAACATGCACACACACACACACCCATTTGATCACAGCGCGGCCCGGGCTTCGAGTCTTCCAACAGTTTCCAAATGATTCCCAAGTTGTTGCCAGATGGTTGAAGTTGGTACAAGGCCGCAAGCGGTCCATTGGGAGGAGCGAAGCCAAGGCAACAAGCTTGTGTTCGAGGTCGCGCATGACGATGTGTCTGCCAACCTGGTCTCGCCAGCCCCTCGCTTTGGCAAAGCTAGCGAGGTCTTGCTTGCTCGCAGCATGCTTCTAGCAAATTTATGCTGATTGTGGCCGGGGGAGCTTTCCGGGATTCATGCAAAGCGGCTCACCAAGGCTTGGTGTGACGACTGCGGGTCTTTGTTGCTGGGCTTGATGCAGGAGGCTGTCCAGCAGCTTGGCGGGCTGTCTTTGGGGCCTGGCCGTCTTGGGCTCGGAAGCAGGGCCCAGGGTTGGACCCACGAAGGACTCTGCCGATTCCAGCGCCGGCGAGCGGCTTCCAAAGAACTGCGAGAACTAAACAAGTGGGTAGCCCCGCCGTCAAGGAATTCCATCATTCAGCTGGCAACAGGTGCAGTCGTGCCTTCAGTCTTGCCATCATACAGCCCTTTGGCGGGGCATACAGGCGTGTTGCTTATTCAGGATTGACCCCCCACGCCCCCTGGGTTCCATAGCGCCTTGTGGAATTCGCGCTCGCATTCAAGCTGGAAGTTTCAGTTGTGGTGTGGCCCCCCAATCCCGTGATCCGGAAAGACTGCAGCGGCCTTGGTAAGCATCCTGAACACCGCCTGCAAGACCACTAGACGCATGAGTCATGCGGAGTGTCCTTTTCAAGGGGATGCTAGTGACTCCAGGTGAACATCACTGCCATAGTTTCAGGGCTCAACCGTCATTCACGTGCCCGTGGGTTGATAGGTGATACATCCCTTATGCATGTCTGACTGATGCAGGCACCAGAAGCCGATTCTGAAGTGTATGGTATGTGACAGTGTTAAAGCAGGGGGACCCCAGAAATTGTGTTTCGCCTTTTGGTTCCTCTTCAAACCAGGGTGAAAAGGGTCAAGAAAGACAGTCATATGGCTGTGGGTCAAAACCAATGGTACCATTTCGGGGTAGGTGCACCTTTTAGTGGGGATTGGGATGTTCACTGGGGGTACGGGATTTGGACCCATGGCCATACCCGGAATATCTCCAACCCGGAATATCTTAGCTCCCCGCAACCTTCCGGGACGGGAGCTGAGGTGCAGCGTGTGCAAGCGCCTGGCCTGCGAGAACTGCCCCCGGATGCAGCCCTGCCTGCCGCGTGGCTTGCTGCGCTACGTGCATGCAGGCGCGAGGGCCCGAGGGCCCGAGGGCGCGAGGGCGCGAGGGCGCGGGAGTGAGGTGGAGGCAGTCACTTCGCTTCCTTCGTTGGTTACCAGACAACTTGTCATCTGCGTATTTTACAGCGAGCTCACCTGGGGGCAGAACGATCTCACCAAGATAAAAGGTTCTTTACTTGGAGATCCAATTCTTAATTCAGCTTTTGGACTTTAGTCAAATGTTCGGATCTCATCTAGTCGTCTTTGAGCTGGACGCCTGCGTTAAAGAATCCCTGGGGGACGGTCCATATGATACTCCCGAAAAAGGTTGAGGCGAGGGAGAGCTTTGGTCTGGCTTGTGGCCAGGTCGCGCATGCATTCTGAGGTCGGTCCATGTTGAACACTGGCTGAAGCCGACCCCCTAAACCATGCGTACGTCCATGTATGGCCCCTGATAGCATGTACTTTTTTTTTTTTTGTCAGGATACTCCCCTTCTTAAAGTTGCATTTCCGGGCATACCAACAATACGGACGCATGCATTCGGCCGTTCACAAACCGCTGCTGCCTAAAGCATGTGCGAAATCCAGGGGAGGAGAACCTGCCCCCCGTGCTGCGGGTGCTTTGCGCAGATGCTGAGCTGATCCTTCTGCTGGCGCATGATCACCCCACCGTGCTAAGATATGCTGCAGAGGCCCGGGCAAAGGATTGATGCCGTTGGGGCTGTCTTGGGCCCGGGCCGAGGTGTTTTTCTCTGCCGGTCCATTGGCACCCCAATCCCGGGAGAGCTTGAAAACTCACACCTGTTTGATAGCCCTGGGCACCAAGCCAACCCACCAACCCGCAACAAGCCAGCCACTGCAATTTCAACCCTCTAAAGCCAATACAGCTCAGTCTTAAGAATCAAAGGGTACAATTTAGGCCAAGCGGCCTCAAACCAGCTCCAAGATAGCTCCAAAGCCCGAAGCTAGCCAAAGCTGTTGAAGTCAGGCATATTGTGTGAGCCTGTGCCAGGGACTGAGCTGACTCTTATCCCTCAAAACAACCTCCAGAATACGACCTAGGGCCCGACGACTGGAGATTGCGAATGCCTTGCCCGAAGCCCATCATGCGAGATCCGCAAGGTCGTGGACATTTTTTTTGGCACCCTCAAGGAAATCCCTTGCTGAGGGGGCCTTGTGAGAAGCATGTGTAGGTTGACAAGCGAACATCGAGTTGCCAGGAGTTGTGGAGAAGATCCGACTTCCTCCAGGGACTGTTGCAGCTCGCGGACGGCACCGAGTCCCCGCAACTGCGACGCCCTGCAAATTTGGAGTCAGCTGTTTCATGCATGAATGCCCCTGGCAGAAGATGGCGGCCCAAAAAAATGAAGCCCCCCTCCCCCCACCCTCGGACCGTAAATTCGTTGGCGTCACGCGGTCTGAGTCATTGGGGGACAGGTTGCTATGTTGTTTGTTTTAGATGTGTTCGAGGATCTGAAGTCGAAAAGCAAGTGCTTCGGAGAGCCTCGGCCAAGCCTCTTGCTGCACAAGCCGTCATGGCAACTTGGCAATTGATGGTGCCCATCTTGCAGTTCCCGTCGTCGCAACAAACCCTATTGGTAGGATAAACATGTTCAGTCGGGTTTCATGAACACTCCGTGTCCGCCGCAGCACCCCAGGCTGCGGTGCTCAAAGCAGAGACGGCGTGGTGCTCAAGAGAAATGACATTTGCACCATGCCCTGCTGTGGTGCCGTGTCCTGACAGGATCCCGGCCTGGCTTTTGCGCTGGCACTGCTGCCTCCCGTGGCCGACCCGAACAGCAGGGCCTTTGCAACGGCAAAGGCTGATCCACACGGAGGTCTTATTGGCCTCATACCTAACGCTCTAGGGCCTTCACCCAGGTTTGCTACCGCGCCTGCTTGAGGATTCATAATTTTGTAATGTTTTTTTGAACTTGTGGGGACAAATGCTTGTACTGATGACGGCCCCTGCTAGGATTGCCTTTGTCTTGTGGAAGCTGCAACGTGGGTGGTTCCCAAGATCACCCCACACTTGCAATTTCTGGAGGCACAGCTGCAGCACAACAGCCCGCAAGTGCGAGTGGCAGCAGTAGAAGCAGTGTCACGCTTGGCTGCGACCTGAGCGCGTGCGAGTGTGCGCAAGCACTTGCTTTGCACAATGCCTTCCGCAGCTCCCGGGCACGGGGGATGCTGGGTGCCGGATGAGCTTGTTCAAATGTTCTCCCCCCCCCCAATGCATAAGGTGCAGTTTTGGTACATTCCAAGGTGGTTGCCATGTTGTTTCTGGCTGAGCCGTGCAGGTCATGGAGCGCTTTCCCTCATTGCCCATTTCCATGAGGGTTCCGTGAAAATCAGAAGTGGTCAGCCATTTACATAAGAAGCCCGTGGCTGCTGGCTGCGTAGTTGCTCCCGAGGTCCGCACTGGGCCGCGTAGTGGGAGCAAGTCGGTGCTTTGTGAGGAGGAGAAGGAGGGAAGCAGCCTGCCATGCTGTTGGCCGGAACATGTTCATGGCCATGCCCAAATTTCTTTGAAATGAGAGGTTGGCTTTTACTTTGCGCCCCCTGCACCGAAGTGTCATGGTGCGCTTGCTTCAGGATCAGGTAATGCAAGCCGCTTTGACGCCGCGCTTGCAGGACTATTTAGGGTGGGCACACGAACGCACCTCCTTGCTGTGCTCGAGGGTGTGGGATGCTCTTCAGACAATTGGTTGCTCATGTTTGGTGACATTTCATTGGCACAAGTATGCGGAATCTCAGCATGTAGCCAGTAGTAGGTCCGAGCGGCAATGATTTGCCATGAGCGTGGGCAGAGCCCAAGAGGAGGAACTTGTTCGAGGAAGTGAGGCCCCTGCAATCTCAGCAGGTGCGCAAGGCGCCCTGCAAGTGCGCAGGCAGAGGAGGACAGACCCTACAGAGATCTTGGAGGCGCTCGCCTTGAGGGGGACTTGTGTGAAGGACGGCGGCGCGGCGCATGCCATGTTGCTGGTGCCCATGAGGCCGGAGCAGCAGCGGTTGCTGCCAGTCCGAGAGGCGGCTAAGTTCTTCGCCTTGGCGCGCCTGGTGCGCCGCGCCACCTTCTGCGGGCTGTCGCCGCAGCCCTGGCGCGGCCACGGCCTGGAGCAGGAGATGCTGAAGTTGCATGCAGATCGGCAGCTGGCCCTGGCGCTGTCCCAGCGGCAACTGGCTGACGAGGCAGGCCAGGCCCAAAGAGCCCAATGCCGTGCCTTGGAGCTGCCCACATCGCTGGGGGTTTCTTCTGCAGCGGCGTTCTCTGCGGCCCCTGCGGCCTCTGCGCCTTCTGCCGAGGTAGACAGTCCAGACCAGCTGCAAATGGTGCACTGGGCTGCGCCAGCAGGTCGTCCTGGCGCCCTCTCTGAAGATGTGCTTTGCCTGCTGCACCTGTGAGTGGGGACAGTCGGCAACTTGTTGGCCAAGAAGCAACATGATTGAAGGGAGATGTCCTGGAGCCTGTACAGCAAGGGGAACAGCAAGGGGAGGGTTGCAGAGCTGACCCGATTGTTGCGACATCGTCTTCCGCGTGGAAAAAGGGCACCGTTGGAGCTGGGTGTTAAGCGGCTTGAATTGCTTATGCTTTGTTTCTGCTTTGCTTTTCCTCTTCGTGCGTGTCAGCGAGGATGCAGACCCAGCTGTGCGCAAGGCGGCGCTGAGGTGCTTGCAGGGGTTGGAATCCCAGGCAGGCTCCCGCTGCCGGGCAGCCATGGGCAAGGCTTTGCTGGCCATCCGGCCGCATCGCTTGACTCCGGGAGAATCCGTTGTGGTTCGGGGTTGGTGCTTGAGTCCTTGAGCCCGAGGACAAAGATCGGGAAGTACGGGATGCAGCCTGGGTAATGTTGCCAACGCTGGATGTGGAATCCTGTGCTTCAATCCTGGTGAGCCTGTCCAGTTCCCGGCTGGACTGGATCATGCCATGGCCATTTGATTTGCTTTGTTGCTTACAGGTCGTTTGCTGCATGTTGGAAGTGGGAGAAGTAGACAATTCTTTGCTGACATGCAACAAATGGTGCAATGCTGCTGGGATGGGAGGACAATACTCGTTGGCTTTGCGACAGGATGACTTCACACAGAAGCGCTTGCTCAAGACACTCCGCTCGCTGCTGGTGCCAGTCCCGCGCCACATCAAGGACTGGAGTGAGCTTTCGCCCGGCCTTTGTCCATTTCTCGGCCAAGTTGCTTCGAGATTCTCCTACGTGCAGATATCACCCGGTTTCCTACTCGAGTCCCTTTCAACCCGAGGCGGTATCCTGTGCACTGTCCGGGGCCAGCTGGTGGCTGCGCTTGGCCGTGTCCGACATGTTCTACGCCTACCTGGGCGTGGACGATCCCGAGGTGTCAAGCCCGTTTGCAGGTGTTGATTTTGTTTTGGGCGTTGCGTGAGCCTCTCCGTCGCCCCAAAAAATGATTCGCCTCCCCCCCCCCGCCCCGCCCCAGCAAGACATTCCAAAGGGTCTGGCAGAATTTGATGAAGGGCAGGCGCCAGTCAGCACAGATGCCCTAGAACCAATAGGCTTCCCACACGTACCAGGAATTTTCTTCCAAAGCCATCAATGTTCGTCAAAGTTTGCGGAGAGCCCTGGCCCCGGCCTAGGTGCGGCAGAGTGCAATCGCTGCCGTGAACTCTTTGGCAGAGAAGACGGACAATAAGGCGGGCTGCCCAATGGGGTCAGCTCACATCTCTTCCATGAGGTGCAAGTGGAAAGGCAAACACAACATATATGTTTTTGGATCCTCGTCTCGGTCTTGTTTGGTTCCAATCGCGCAATGCGCACATGTATTGTTTTATGTTATATTTGTTTCTGGGCGAGGGAGAGCAGCTGTAACAAGTTATGTTACAATCTGGTCGGAACCAAATACTATTTTTGACGATGTTTATCCGTGATAAGATTGGCGATTGGCATGTCCACGAAATCAATTCGCACGTACTACCAATCTGGTACTCATGAGGAATTTCAAGGAATTGACTCCGGAATTTTGTTGTCCGTCCAAAATGTTGTTGATCATCAACGGGTCTGATTTGGGACAGCCCCCGTGATCTTTGACCACGTCCCAATATTCCCACCGCCCGTGCCACGCCCGATCACTCTCAAACCAGCGCAGGGCAAGTTCTGCCCGCTCGTGGCCTGGCCGTAAACAGCCGCTTCAGAGACGTAGCTCACCTCTTTCAGAACTTCCTCCAGGTCCCAGATTCATGCCAAGAGGGCAGTTTGAACATGAAACGAGGATCCACATCGAGTGTAACTGAAATTACTTGCAGACAGTGTGAGGTGAGATGATCAGAATTGAAGTTAGTTGTTGCCAGCTTGTGGCCCCCATTCCCTTCGCGCCAGGCCGCCGGGGCTTTGGCCGCGCTGCTGGAGGATGGGGACGCATCGGTGGCCTCGGCCACGTGGACAGCGGTGCGGCCGCGGCTGACGGACTCGAACCCCGACGTGCAGCGCGTGTGGCTGGAGGACATCCGCTGCAAGAGCCTCAACCCGGCCGTGCGAAGTGAGGCGGGGCAAGTGAGCAGAGAGGGGAGAGGGGCCGGAGAGGGGTGGGTGGGGTGTTCAGTCTTGGGTTACAAGTCATCCCAGGTTCAAAGCCTGAGAAGCAAGCGACCACATGGTCCTAGTAGAATGGGTGCGGCTGCGGTGAAAACAACACCCTTATTGGGTCTGATGATCAAGAATGCGCTCAGCGGGCTTCCTGCCCATGGCTTGCAAATCGATTGATCCTGGCCTTGCTTGCATGCAACCCGTGCATCCGCACAAGCGGTGGCGCACCTGCACAAGCGGTCGCGTCATGCCGACGAGAGACGGGAAACGAAAGCAATCAATCTCCCCAAGCACACAGCCACTCACTTGCTGGGTCCAACTTTCCAACAAAGTCAAGTTCTCAAAAGTTCCCTCTAGATGGAGGTTGAAAGGGCAACCACCCCGCTACAGTACGAAGCACAACCAAACAACATAATGACAAGGTTAACAATGACATAATTAAGAACACCGATAACTATTATGAATATATAAATCAAACTAATGGTTTGTTGTGGCGCACTTGGACCAAACCACAACAGAAACACACCGGTGCGTAGCTTTAACAAGACAGAGATTCATTCTTTAGAAATACAGTATCAGTATGACTACCTTGCGAAAACAGAAGTTGAACATGTACAAGTTCTGTTTGGCTCGAGCATTGTGGCCCGCTTGCAAGGCACTTGCACGAAAAAGGCCTGGCACTTCAGGCAATAGAACTCGACGATATCGTTTTGGCAGTGATCGCTGGCGCTCGCATGCAAAAATCGTTCGGCTTTCTGAATATTCGACTAGCCGGACGCGCCCCCAGTGCGCCCCGAAACGAGCATCTCCGAGCTTCAGGCAACAAGGACTCCACGCAATCTGGATGGCCGGCAGCCGCGCCGCCCAGAAAGAGGCCGCAGCGCTGATGTGAGCCGGGTGGCACGCTTCCGGGAAGCCATCACCGTGGGTGGCAATGCTGCTGCGCAGCAGCAGGGCGGATTGCAGGACCTGCATCAAGCTCGGGCCCGCACCCAAAAACAAGAACTTCACAACAGTGCCAATCTGTTGGGCTCCAGACGCGGGCCTTTGCAGGTGGCCCATCGTGTGTCGGGTTGTGCATGCTCTGTCGGGTCACGGACGTATGCCTTGGCCCTGCTTAGCCTGACGCGGGTGAACTTCCACCGCGCAGAGTTCGGAGCGTACTCAACCGCGCCCAGTGGTCAGCAGGCGCACCAACTGAACGCGCGCTTGAAACGTGCTGCGCGCCTTGACGGAAGTGCCGCGCCCTTGGAAGGAGGGGTGCTTGCAGGCGTCTAGAGCGGCGCCAGGGCAGAAGGGGGGGCCTTTGTGTATGTGGGTTGCTGCACGCTAGATTGTGGCTGGTGCGGCGGCAGCCGATTCTTTGCAGCTCGGCCTTGGCAGACCTGGAGCCGCGCGCCCGTCGGATGCACCTTTTGACCGGCGGGCCTGGCACGGGCAAGACGCACGTGGTCCGTTACATTGTGGCTGGGGCACTGGACCGCAACGCTCCAGTGCTGATGGCTTTTCCAACGGCCTGGCTCTTTTCCTACGCAAGAAGAAGCTGAGGAATTTTCATCTTATTCTCTATCTGCATCATCGGCAAAGTGGGCGTGGTGCCGAAAGCTGTGTGGGAGCAAATCACCCAGTGCTTGCACTGTGGCGGAAGGAGATTTCCAGCAGTTGCCCCCGCCCGTGCCGGACGCCGACGCGACGCACGCGGCAGCCGTCTTGTTCCATGGGATACTGCTTTTGAGCTTCAGGAACAGAGCTGGAATTTTTTGGACCTCTGCAAGCACTGTGTCTCTGGCTTTGCCAGCCGGGACAGGGGATGGACCGGCTTTGACAGGGCGTGCGCAGCTTGCTTCCGAGATGGCGTGACAATTGCTGCGCTGTCCATGACCTTCCTGCGCGACTGGCTCGGGCCCGGGTGGCCGGTTGGTCCGCAACACGCAGCGCCTCGGCTGCGAGCGACGCCGCTGGAAAGGCCGCGCCTGCAGCAACCGGGGCCGTCTCCGCTGTGGGGCTGCGCGCAGCAGCCAGGCTGCTGCAGGTTTGGGGCAGTTTCACTGTGTCCCCAGCCAGGTTGCAGGTTCGAGCGGGAGAAAACTTTGATGCTGCTGCACGCCCGTACCGGCCCCATTGTGTTGCTAGCTGCGCGTTGTTCTTTTGTTTTGATTGGTCGTTTTGCCTCCGCCGACTTGGGGTTTGTTTGCCCCTGAGATGTTGGGAGGGACGTGGGGGCTTTGGCCACGGCGTGCCGTCGGTCATTTCTCTGTTTCTCTCTCTGTCTCGCTGTCTCGCTGTCTCTCTGTCTCTCTGTCTCTCTGACTCTCTGTCTCTTTGTCTCTCTGTCTCTCTCCCTCTCTGTCTCTCTCCCTCTCTATGAATGAAACAAAACACAACACGGTAGTAATTCTGCAATTTAGTAAACCTTTTGTTGCACCAGCAAGTGCGTCCAACGTGTTTGGCGGTTTTGCTTAACGTGAAAAGTGCTACTAACATGGCCAAACAACAAATGTTAGCGTATTCCATTGAGAGGATTGGTACAACAACCCGTTCTGCTGCTCTCCAAACCTCGGATCTTTTTAACAATGTATTTAGCTGCGTCCCACAAGGCAGATATGTGTTCCTATCCGCCGTTTCTCCGACCACAAGCACCGGAGGTGCTGCCGGTCTCCTCAGAACAAACCGGGGAACCCAGGCAAAGGAAGAGAGAAATTGTCAGCTGTCAAAAAATTTGTCGGAAACGTTCCGAGGTGATTGTGGCCATCCTTCCGAAGCTCGCCTCCACCAAGTGGCTGGTCCAGGTCGCCGCCGCGCGCGCGCTGCAGGTCGAGCAGCCAGAGGCAGCCGAGGCGGGGGCTTGTTTCACCGGAGGGACATGTTTGACAAGGCGAAAACGTGTGAGAACGGGAATCCCAAAGTGCAGGGCCAAGTTGAAATTTGGAGGTCAGGCTTGACCAACCAAGTGGTTGATTCTGGCGAAGAGCCATACCTTTGCCGGCCCATTGCGTTGGCTCATCGCCACAGAAGTGGCAGTTGTTGCAGGCCACAAAGTTATCATCTCCCATTCCACTTGCAGGATTTGGGACTCTTTCAAGCAAGAAGGGGGGGCTTTGGTTTGCTGTTGGCTTCACTTCAAGATCACTTCACAAAACGGCACCCGCCCTAAAAAACAGACACACCCGAGTAGTAAGCCCAAAATGTGCTTCAGCTTTTGAGCTCACAGGTAAAAACTAACATTCAAATATATTGGATATGTTTTTTATTTTTAATAGGCAAGTAACCTTAAGTTTTGTTATTACAAATTTGCTTATGAACAAATGAATCAACTCAAATTGTATATAGATCGCAAACACACAAGGCATATTTGGGTATGCAAGGATGGCATGTGCATTGGCTGGGTGTCCTTTCAAACTGAAAGGACCCCCCACAAAAACCGACGCGGCCTCATGACTTCAGGTGAGGCAAGTGGTGTCTGCCTTCAAGAAGGACGAGGACTCCGATGTACAGAGGGTTGCTGCGGAGGTTCTCGCCGCCTTGCCGACGGGAACTGAATGCAGCTTGTGAGAACGCTGATGGTCCAAAGGTGACCGCATTGCTGGCGCAGTTCCGCCTTGCTGATAGGCAAGGTTTTGCAGGGGCACAAGACGTGCTCCAAACTTGGGCTGAGTGCTGTGCTTTGGAAAATCGTTTCGTTTCTGCTCCGTCCGGGGCGCAGTCTGTTTCATGGCTCTTTGGGCAGCTGGCAGGCGCTGGGTGCGCGCGGGCTGAGCCGTCCCCGGCAGGGAATTCCGCATCCAGGCGGCATCTTCCGTGCATGTACTTTACGCCTAGAGACGAATCCGCTTGCTGCGCATCAAGTGTGGCAAAAAGAGCTGCGGCTCCACGTGCCAGCCTTTGCGGGGAGGGTATCTTGCAGTGGAAAGTCCACGGAAGTTCCTCATGGCCGTTGCCGCCAGCTGAGCCCTGCGGCATTTCGGCTTTAGGCTCCTATTGGGCAAGAGGGTTTGGCGTTTTCATTGGTGGTCCTCACCTGCAAGGCACGGGCTGTGAACTTGGGGCTTGCAGGTTTTGGGGCCTTCCCGAGCCTTTCGTGCCTTCTGATTCTGAGCCACGGCCATGTTGTGCCAAGTCGTGCGCCCCCAAAAATGTTCAACAAGGGGGGGGGGGCCCAAGTCAGACCAACACTTCTCAGGATAGCCAGGATGAAGCGGCAGCTCAATCGAGCTTCCACCATGCCGGCGGGGACCCTGGCTTCAGCTCGGGTAATTTGGGTCGTCATTAAAATTGGAGCTGCTGGTTGTGAGCCGCGGCTCGTCTCCTCTTCCCCAGGCGAACAAGATGGTGGTGCAGGGCGCGCAAAAGCGACCCCCAGCACGTGCGACCACACAGGCTTGCACCCTATGGGCTGCTGGGTCGGGATGGTAACTAAGATGCTAGCAGCCACAACAGGGCCTTGAAAGTGAAACAGGCATGGGAATGGTGTGCTTTGGGGCAGCAAAGCTGGTTTTCAAATTTACTGCGTCCATCCAACTGTGCATGTGTATGCCTATCACAACCTAAAGAAGCAGGGCAGTTTCAACAAGGGTCTCGCACTCCATGCTGGCGACATGTGGCGACCAGTCGCTGCGTTTCTTCCGAGATCCATGCTGCCGGATGTGTGGTTCCTTTCGTCGGTTGAGGCCAACTTGGAAGGAGGAGCAGAGGCAGGTGCGGAAATCCTCGGGCAAGGTCTCCCAAGCATTCGTTTTTTCGAGGGTACCTTTTTTGAGGGTACCTTTTTTGGTGGTTTAGGGCTTAGGAAGCCGACGGGAAAACCACCCATGTTTGGGGTACTCCTTCGTGGACACATCCATTTCCGGTGCGAGGCCACAGCATCCGTCGTGGTGGTGGCGCGCATTCGGCCCAAGCTGCCGAAGGAAGAGAGCGAACGTGACGGTGGCGACCTTAGCTTATGAGGCAGGGATTGCTCCACCTGCTCCCCCAGAAGCTTGTCTGGCATGGTTTCAAGCATGCGCAGAAGCTCGTTTGGCGTGGAAAATGCACGTGCTGAGGCGTGGAAACCTACCTCGATGGACAAACCGTGGGGATTTTCAACGGGCTAAAGCCTCAGAGTCGGGCGCTATGTGCAGTACGAGCATGGGACAGCACAGGCGCGACAAGAAGCAGTACACCTTGGACCAAGTCTTTGACTCGCGTTGGAAGGGAGCCCAGGCAGGGGTGTTAGCACGAATTGCTTGGCTTCCATTGGGTGTTGCCAAACAGACTGAACTGATTAGTCTTATGTTAAACTTTTCATCTTCCCTGGACCACCACCAAAAAGCGGTGTGGACCCTGGCGACACTTTGCACCGCTTTCAAGTGGGGTGCAATCAAGGCTTGTTTTCTATTTTTTGGACACGCCTTTAGACTCCTGAATGATTGGCCGCATCCTGCCTTGCCAGAACACGGCCCGCTCTGCCGGCTCCACTGACAGCGGAACCGACAAGCTCACCCAAGCAGAGCCTGCGGCCTCGTTGGGAGCGCTTTGGTGCTGGGCCCTGCTTTTCGGGTTCCTATATTCAGCCTATATTCTTCCTTTGAGTTTTCAAA